CAGGCGCGGGGGCGGGATTCGGGGATGCAGGAGGCGGAGCCGGGCTGGCCTGGAGTCTCCGAGAAACTCGCGGCCTTCGGCAGCTTCCCGGCCCGGGAAGTGAGCCGGGGTCGGGAGGCCGCAAACAGGAAGTCGGGCTGTAACAATGAGCGCGGGGGGCGGGGAGCCCGGGACCTCCCGGGCGCTCGGCGGCGGCAGGTGGAGGGCTGACCCGGAGCAAGCCGGCCGCACTTGCCTCTTCCGCCGCCGCTCGGGGCTCCAGGCCCGCGGGGATCCGGCCGTGCGCCCTGGGCGCGAGGGAAGGCGCGACCGCCTGGGGAAGGCCGCTGGGACCTCCCAGGCGCATCCCCTCCCTGGAAAGGGACAATCACAGTTCCCTGAGTGAATCACTTCCATCCCCTTCCCGGAATGCAGCAGGCCACGTGGGGCGGAGGCTGGGTCCGCTGATCATGCGGGCCCACGGGAGAGGCTGGGAGAGCTGCAGGGAGGGACCTACGCAGAGCTCTGTGGGGTCCCCGTCAGAGGCGGACGGTCAAGGGGCCGTATCTAGCCTGGGGTGGGGGGTGGTGAGAGACACTTTTTTTCTCCGTTTTTCCCCTTGCACCCCTGAACAGTCTGATCACGGCCCTGAGGCAGGTGAGCGGGTCAGGCCTGAGCACAATAAAGGCATTTCTCCCTTCTCCACAGCGCCCTCCCCGGGTCATCTCTCCGCAGTGATCCGGTGGTTATCAGCCCGGGTCCTCGGAAAGCAGATGTCCTCAGAACTCGAGGTCACCGTGGGGCCAGATTTGTCCTCCAGGCAGGGCATGGCTCCAGGCTGTTTAGGAATTGCTAACCTCAGTTCTCTTGTGAAATACCCATGCAGATTAAACCCGGGCATTCGCTTCATCCGGGAAGGCACTTCACAGTCTGAAGCTGTTCTCTGGCCTTGTTTCTGTCAAGCCTGGACCATCTCCTGTACACGTGGCCACTCAGGAAAAGTCTTGGGGGGTCTCACCTATGAGAAGGGGCTGGACTCTCTGGGAGGGGCCTTCAGGAAATCCGAGAGAGAAGGGCACTTCCATTGTGGCCTATTCATACCTCCAGGGCCTGCCTGACCCAGCTTCTGCGTTGCTGGAGGTGGAACCTGGCTTCACCTACAGGTTGGAGCTGCCCAGATCAGTCCATGCACGGGTCCCCCTTTCCCCAGAAAGCTCCATGGGCTCTCCCAGCTCCCCATCTAGGGCATCAGAGAGGGACGAGCAGGTCTAGCCAGCCAGCTCCTTCTGAGGCTCTTCTCTGAGGGGCTGGCAGCCAGTGCAGCCCTGCACAGCCTGGAGGTGTGGACGTGCAGGCCCGCGGGTATCCTACCTGTCCCCCACATGGGAGCCTCGTCATCTCCACTTCGTGTCCGGACCCAGTTTCCCCCGCCCCCCAGGGCCCGGGAGCCGCTTTCCTGTTTCATTTTGGGCAGGAAGAGTGAGGTCGTGTTGTTCTTCCCCCTGCTGCCGGCTCAGGCTGTGGGAACGGTTCCCTGAATGCTTTCCTGTTTGATACCCTGTGTGTGCAGCGAGGGGAACAGGGACGGTGAGGGAGGCGTGGAGTGTGTGAATGTGGGGGAGAGTAGATAAACATAAGTCCCTTGCACCCTTGTTCTCCAGCACAGTCACCCAGGTCAGGGGCAGGCATGCGGTGTGTCAGGGAGAGCAAGGAGCACGCCATATACTTGGAGTCCGTTAGGAGGGAGGCATCGGATGGATCTACCTTGCTTTGCCGTGAACAGGCTCAGAGCTGGGAGCATCTGCTCAGCTTTTTGTCAGTGGCTCATTTTTCAGCATTTGCTCTCCATGAGGTACGTTTGCAGCTGCAGAGAGAGGACCTTGGCACCCTAGGGACCATCCTACCTCTTAGAGGGAGCTAGGTATGGGGGCGGGACTGGAAATCCCCTAGTAATGCCTCAGCCAGAGTAACCTGGACTGAGGGAAGGCCACCTTCTCCTCCTCTTCCTCCCTCCAAGTCGTCACTAAACTGCAGAGCTCTGAGCAGACAAGGTGCCCAGACTCTCAGCTCTCTCACTCAGCTGTAAAGAGGACAAACCCAGGGCCAAGTCCCACCCCCACTGGTAGCCAGTGCCCTGTGGGAACTGAGGCAAGAGCAGGACATAGCACACCCAAGACCCTGCAAGGACAGGAGGGAGGACCCAACTGTTGGCACGGTTCAGAGATGCCGTTCTCCAGAACAGCATCCTAATCAATTGAAGGAAAATGGGCAGTATTGTCCCCTTCCCCGGAATACCTGTATTCCACAGGCTAAGTTTTTTCAGGCTTGAGGAGAGAAAGCAGGGTACAGTCAGGTCAGGGGGACTATCCCCCCAGGAATGGTGGGAGCACAAAGGAGGGTGAGCTGCAGTCAGCTTCAAAACCATCAGGCTAGCTAGGCTGGCCTAAGCTGGGGACTCAGATGGGTGAGGCTGGGCTCCCCAAGGACCCCGAGGTGACCAAGGTCTGGGTCACAACATACTAAACCCAAGTGGGTGCACTGGTCCTGGGGATTCCAGGGGGCATCCGGCAGCAATATGAGAAGGGAGGGTTACAGGACTCCCCCTCTGCCCTCACAAAGACAGGACCGGAGAAGTAATAAACTTCTGTACATATCTGTTCCATATTATAAATACACATTATATACAAAATAATGTTATAAAATGTAGAAAGGTCAGTGCTTCTGATTCTTAAATTATCGAAATACTAGACTCCAAAATAAACTACAAAAAACAAACAAAATAAAAACTCATATTATTGATTTCTGAAGGTCAGCTTCAAAGATGGTCTGGGGCAGTAGTGGGCATGGTCAGAACCCAGGCTCGAGGCCGTAGAGGTGAGTTTGAGGGAAGAAAGGCCCCAAGTGGCAGCAGCACCCATTTCTCCCTCAGTAGAATTTCCAACATAATTCCCCTGAGCTCCCCCGTCAGGCCTGGCGCCCTTGGCTGGCAGAAGGGGCAGGTCCTCCACCTGTCTGCTCACAGGAGCCCAGAAGCACCCAGTGCCAGAGGCTCGGGGAAGCCCGGTAAGGCTTACCAACGTTTTCCCCAGAGGGCCTGGGCCTGGGAGAGAGGCCCACATGCAGTAGTTGGAGACGCGGGGCGAAAAGCCCTCCTCTCCCTTCGGGCGCTCATCTCACCTGCAGAGCAGCCCCTGCTAAGAGCCGCACCCAACAGTGCTCTGGCCCATACGGGCCCTGACCGTGTTGGCCCCCTCTCTCCTCTCTGATCCGGGCCAGCTGTCACCAGGGAGCCTGGGCCAAAGGCACTTTGGGAAACACAGATGCCAGTGGAGGCCACGGCGGCTCCAAGCCCCAAGGGCCCACTGCCACTCCCTCTGGAAAAGAGCTCAGAGCCCCAGAAGGAGCACTCCGAAGCCCACCGCTGCCAGGGCGGCTCCAAGTGGCACCTCTCCTCTGTCCTGGCTGGCGCGGCTGCCAAGCTGATGGCAGACAGACACCCAGAGGCGTCTCTTGGCGAGTTCACAGTCTGTCCGCTTCATGCCGTTCCCTCCTCCTCCCGAGAGCAGCACGGTGCATATGAAAACGTCCCATCCAGGTTGCAATGTAAACAGTGCAGAAGGAAGGTCCAGCTGCTGGGCCGAAGCTGCGATGTCCTAGGCTCCTGCCTTATACCTGGGGAGAGCGGAGAAGTGGGTTACCCTGGGTGCAAGCACTCCGTCCACCGCTGGCCTGACGGTCTCCCTGGGAGAAGCCAATGAGGCAGGCAGGCTGGAGGGAAGATGGGGCAGCCCTTGCTGGTCTCCTGCCCCAACACGAGCGCATGCCTGGGTGCCTGTGCTCCGTGAGGTGGGCCAATGGAGGAAGCCAGTGGGAAGGCAGGAGAGGCCCAAGGCAACCACCATCACGCAACAGCAGCTGGGAAGCAGAGGCTGGGAGCTGGCCAGGTGCCATGTCGGCGCAGCACAACACTAACCCAGCAGGAAGAGGCCCGGCCAGGCTCACCCCCACGGCTCCTGTTTCACACCCTCTGTGGCAACAAGGCCAGCAGGGACCTGAGAGTCGCCGAACCTGGCCCGTCAAGGAGGGTTTCTGGCCCTGCCTTTCCTGAGCAGCCCCTCAAGACCCCACCATTGGGTTGGGAGTAACCAGGCCACTTTCCCATCCCCAAAGGGCTGGAGGAGACAAGCTGGAAGGCAAAGTGAGCCCCGCACTCACCTCCGTGGCAATGACACATTCATTCCTCTCCTCTGATATCAAACACACGGACTGGTACACGGAGTCCCTGGGGGAGCATATCGCTGATATCCGACACTGTGGCTTTTCCCTGAGGGAACACAAGCCAGGCGTGAGAGAGGTGGAGGAAAGAGGAGGGGAAGGGGGTGGGAACCCAACCCCAGAGCCAAGGGCACTTGCAGAGGAGGCTCTGGGGGAAGACCCAGGGGCTGGCGGGGCAGTTAAGAATAGGCCCCTAAGATAGCCACAGGGGCCCCAACTTTTCCAAAAGAGCCTTGGGCCTGGAAAAAGCCAGCAGTACCACTAGAAGCAAGTCACACCATAGAAAGATGAAAGTCACGAGAGTCACACTGTGGACTCGTGACGTTTGTGAATGAATGCATGCATGAATGCGGGGGCAAAGAACCCCCGGCAGTAACAAACTCCCTCTTTGCTTAAAAGCAGTCAAGGGCCTGGTGCCAGCCTCCTGCTTGTCCTTGGAGGAACCCAGAAAGAACCACACAGGGCCCATGGCCAGGTCCTGGGGCTCAAGGTGATGCTCACCTGTGTAACTGCAGTGGCGCCTTCTCCCCTAAGCTCTTGTCACTGTGGGGATACTTCCCCGGCATGGTCCCCCGGCCCGGGAGGCCTGGGGCCAGATTATAGTCCAATGTGTGGTTCTGCTGTTTGCCGCAGTTGGACTTGTCCAGGCCACAGTCCACTTCCAGCTCCTTCTTCTGGTTTGTGTTCTTGAGCTGGGCGGCGGGGATCAGGTTGTCCTTCTGGAAGTCTGACAAGTTGTTCATGGCCTCCCTGCTGGTGTCGTCTGGCCGCCGAAGCCGCAGCTGCCACACAGCCACGGCCACCATGCCCAGCAACAGCAGCACCACCACCAGCCCCACGCCCAGGGACACGGCCACCCAGGGGAAGCTGGGCGGCATGTCCACAGGGATCTCGCAGCGGCTGCCCAGGAAGCCGTAGGGGCAGTTGCAGATGAAGTTGTCCGGGGACAGGCCAGCATAGCAGGTGGCCCCGTTGAAGCAGGGCCCTGAGGCACAGGCATCGGTCGGGGTCCGCACCTCGCAGCGCCGACCTGAGAAGCCAGGAGGGCAGGTGCAGAAGAGCCCGTTCTCCAGGTCATGGCAAGTGCCACCATGGGCACAAGGGCTGCGGGCACAGTTGCTGATGGAGAGTTCACAGTGGGCGCCTGTGAATCCAGGACGGCAGCGGCACAGGCGGTTCGGGCCTCGGTTCAGGCACTGGCCCGCTGGGGGGGACACGGAGCACAAGTCAGCAATGGCCTGGGACCCCCGGTGCAGGCAGGTGAGTGTCCCATCCCAGGAGCAAGTCCCTGTCCTTCTGCCTCCATGCACACAGGCAGTGCTGACAGAGGCCACCGCACTGAGCTGGGCTCTCTACCTCAGTGGGCTCAGGTATGACCATGACTAGCGTCTTACAGAGCTTCCAGGTAGAATCCAACAGATGGACTTGGGTTTGAATCTCAGCTCTGCCTCTCTCTAGCTGGGCATCTAGCACCTGTGGCTTTATCTGATCTGTAAGCCTCGGTTTCCTCATTTTTTAAGTTGGAGTATAGTACTATCTCCTTAAACGATTGCTCCAAGGGTTTAGGAGGATAATGCATATAAGCAGAAGCACATGCTTGGTATATAATAAATGCCCAAATACGTGTAATTATTATTCTTTTACTTCCTTGTCACAACCACACGAAATACGAAGCGCAAGTGTTATATTTTCCCATTCAGTGATGAAGAAACTGCGACTCCAGGGAGCTAGGTAATTAGTCAGAGGGCAGATTTCCCTTCTGTTTTCTTCTCCTAGCCCTTCCAACCTCTCTCCAGCTCCTGAGGCTTCTCTTCACCCGGGGCTGTCTGGCTGCCTCACGGGGTGCCACCAGGAGGCCAGACAGACAAAGGCTACCAACATGCTTTGTGCCCCAAAAGGTGCTGGACGTTCTACATGCCTTGTGCCACACCAGGCTCCCCATGGCAGCGGGACAAGATGCGGCCTTCAGGAGCAGGGCGCTGACTGCCAGCTTCCCTCGAGGAGGGACACAGAGCCTCCAGCATCCCTCTCTCTAGCCCGGGACTCAGCCAGGTCAGGGCTCTGACACTGAAATAGGAATGGAAGCCAAGCAGGGTGACACCGCTGGCCCCTCTCCTAACACCTGCTGCTAGCTTGCTCTTCTTCCAAAGCCCTCCCACTGGCCAAGCCAGCTCTTCATCCTCCCGAGCAGATGGGGACGCATCTCAGCCTACGAGTGACAGGCAGGTCTACCTCTTCTCCTGACCCTCCCTCACCAGAAGGCTCTCAGGGTCCCAGGGCTGGTCCACCATGTTAGCAAGGGAACAGGACATACCATTGGCACACGGGTTGCTGGTGCATCTGTCCACTTTCTTCTCGCAGTTGGAGCCAGTGAAGTTAGGGGGGCATTCGCAGGCATAGCTGGACCCCTGGTTGCGCTCCCGGCAGGACCCCCCATTGAAGCAGGGGGAGTCGGTGCAGGTCAAAGTGCTGTGTTCACAGTGCAAGCCGTAGTATCCCGGGGGGCACAGGCAGAGGTAGCCGTCCTCTTGGTCCTGGAGAAAGACCATAAAGGGGGCAAAAGTCAGAGGCTGCCTGGGTTGGGGACGTCTGGGTGTCACCTGGCCAGACCTCTGCCTCACCTTACAGCTGCCTCCATTGCGGCAGGGGTTACTGTCACACTCGCTGAGCTCCAGCTCACAGTCCACGCCAGTATAGCCCGGGCGACAGGCGCAGGTGTAGCTCCGCTGCCCGCTGTTGGAGCACGTCGCCCCGTTCTTGCACGGGGAGTGGTGGGTGCAGTAGTTGAGGTCTGTGGAGACAGGAACCCGCCAGCTGAGCAGGGCACAGAATGCTCCCCGCCAAGGCTCCTCACGGTGCAAGCTCACCCCGTGTTTGGCCCAAAGAGGTTTCAGCTCCATGTCTTGTCTTCCCACGATGAAATATACATGGAAGCACCATGAACCACACTTGACCAATCAATCAAGGTTGGAAGAAACCACAGAACTCGACAACCACCTGCCATGTCAACTCACAAATGCCCCCCCGCCAGGAAACGATAAAGGTAAGGACCACTGAGGAGCAGATGAGGAGGGGGAGGGCGAGGCCCCGAGCTAGGGAAGGAGGAAATCAGAAAAGGCTGCATGGAAGAGGGGCATCTGAGACAGCCCAGGAGGAGAGATGCCATTTCAACAGGTGGAAACGCTGGAGAAGTCATTCTGAGGAGGGGGGATGAACACCCGCGGAAGTGACTAGGAATTTTTTAAAGAAGGAGTTAACGAGAGTGTTTTGAAATACAGGCCAAAAACCAGTGAGAAAATATTTGTTCTGCAAACCTTCACCTAAAATACAATAAAATAAATAAATAAACCAAACCCGTTGCTGTTGAGTTGATTCCAACTCATAGTGACCCTACAGGACAGAGTAGAGCTGCCCCACCGGGTTTCCGAGGAGCAGCTGGTGGGTTGTAACTGCTGACCTTTTGGTTAGCGGCTGAGCTCTTAACCACTGAGCCACCAGGGCTCCATTTGGAAATGTAAGTATTTGTTTTCTTATTTGGCAAGGCCAGGGAGGGAGAACCAGACAGAACAAATACCAGGACTGTAAGAGCTGTGTTTGCATATGATGAGGATGACTGTCACCTGGAAGCAAATGTGGAGGAGAGGAGAATGGGTGGGAACACACACACACACACACACACACACACACAAAGAATGCAGAGGCCAAACCCCAAGTCCCTGTTAACTGCAAGCAAATCCTAGGCAACTTCTTTCTACCCTGGCAAGCCTCTGCCCACCCTAGCCAGGCACACGTCACCTACCTAAAGAAAAGGCTCCCTCCCCCACAGTCACGGCTCTGCACCCTGCACAGCCAGAGGGTGAACAGGTGCCCCCACCCCACCCCCTCCCCACCCCCGGGAAGAGCCAGTATGGGCTCAGGCAGCCACCTGGCCAGTGCTCCCGCGCAGGCACTGGGGAGGCCCACAGCGAGAAGGCGGTTAGATGTCACTCCGCCCAGAGCCCCAGCTCACCTGTAGCCTCAGGGCAGCCCGTGGGCGCACCCCATCAGACAGCTGTTTTGGGGAGAGCTGCTCAAACAGCCCCAGCAGGTAAGCAAACACTTACGGGGTTAATAGGTAACTACGCGGTAGTACAAGGTAGAAAGAGGAACCAAGCCTGGCATTGGCCTTGCTGGAGTTTATGAGTGCAATCTCCAGGCTGCCAAACTGTCGCCCTCCTGGCTCCTCCAGCCACCCTCGCTCCCCAACTCCGGGAAGAGAATCTCCTTCTAGGCCAGTTGTAAAGACTTAAAAGCCCAAGATCCCCCAAAGGAACATGGCAGAGCCGAGTCAGAACCAAGTAAGAAGGGTCCAGAGATAACTGTGGCTCCCAGCCCACGGCCCCGTCTCCCCTGCCCCCTCTGCAGTCCTCTTCGCCCCAACTCACCCTGATCACAGAACAGGCCTCCCCAGCCCTCATCACAGGTACATTGCCAGGGGGTGCTGCAGGTGCCGTGGCGGCAGCCATTGTGGGGGATACACTCATTGCATAGGCGGCCCTGCCAGCCTGGGCGGCAGCTGAGAGACAAAAGGGAGGCTAAGGGTGAGGTGAGAGGCCTGGCCAGAGGAGGGCTCCCCCACCACCACCTCTGATCTCCTACTCACAGGCACTCTGCCGGCTTCATGCAGTAACCATTCTGCTCGTTACAGCCAGAAAGACAGATCGCTAAAGAAAGGAAACAGGGCTGGGGTGAGGTGAGATGCCAAGGACTCTGCTGGCCCTGGGGGTGTCCCCGGCTCTCCTGGGCTCCCTTCCCACTCCTGGCCTGCCACAGGAGCTATGGGTGACTTAAAGGGAGACGGTGGCACAGGGTGTGGGGTGGGGGAATCAAGGCTGGATGAAATGCAGTAATGGGGGCCTTGAGGGCTTTGCATAATTGGGAGGAGCGCTGGAAGGAGACAGGAGGTCTGAGTACAAGCCCACCCAAAGCATCCTCAGGTGTCCCTGAGGCCCAGCTAGTGGGCAGCCCAGACCTGCTGTCTGAGGGAGCAGCCTGTGGCCCAGGAGATAGGGCCTGTTGCTCAGGCGACCCCCCACCCCCCACCCCATGCAGAGGGGAGCTTGGCCGCTTACGCTGATCACAGTACTTCCCGGTCCAGCCAGGCAGGCAGGACAGACTGCCATCTTGTTGGCACACGTAGTGGCCGAAGTGGTCATTGCGCTTCTTGCACAGGCGTGAGCAGTTGTCCCCATAGTAGTTGTCACTGCAGATGACCCGGTAAGAATAGCGAAGTCTTGTGAGGGAGCGGCTCTGCTCGTCCGGTAACCAGTTCTCGCCCACAGCTAGGGACCCCTGGATGGTGATCCTGCTGATGAGTGCGTCTGCTGGCAAGGCCTCTGAGGGGGCAGAGGGCCAGGTCAGAGGAGTGGAGCCAGTCCCCAAGGGCGCCAGTGACTGCTGGCCTATGCCCCTCTTGGCTGGGCTGATGATCATCAGCGGCCACATCAGACCAGTTGTCCAGATGACCCTCTCCTGCTGGCAAGGGCCAGGCCAGAGGAATCCAAGGGTCCCGATGCTCAGCCGCCCTGTGTGTGTGTGTGTGTGTGTGTGTGTGTGTGTGTGTGTGTGTCTCGCGTGCGCGCGCACGGGGACCTGATACTATTCAAACAGGGGACAATAGAAGGATGTTAAGATATCCCAGTGCTATGGGGGACGACAGGGAGGGGAAAGAGAAAAGAGATCAAAATGGAAAAAAATAATAAATAAAAGAAACGGGAAAAAAAAGGCTCTCCAGTCTGGGAAGGACCCTGGAAGCAGGGGGTCTTTTGGTGCCCAACCAAGGGTTCTGCCCCCAGAGGTGGGTAATGGTATTCTTTTTCCTTTTCAAAGTGAGAATTGTTGTGCTGCTGAAATGTCCTTTTCCTCTGTGTCAGAACAACATCCCAAAGCCATTATTCCCTTTCCAAAGGAGCGGAATTCGCGAAAGGTGTAAAATACAGGAAGGGGCCCGTCAGCGGCGCTGGCAGCTTCGGCCTTTCTCACCGCCGTGCTCCCTGCGTTCCCACGCCAAAAATAACCCGCAGGAAACGCAATTGTGCTCAAGTCCAGGCAGCGGACGGAATCCGAGCGTCCAGCGCGGGGCGCAGCTCCCGGCCGAGCTAAGCGTCCTACCCCCCACCGCCAGCCCCGCGCTTCCCCCGCCTCTAACAGGTTAACTCTTTCGGCGCTGCGCGTGTCGCCCCCCTGTGGCGGCGGAGCGAGCTACTCACCTGGCCGCAGGTCTTTTCCCAGCGCGTGCCAAGCTTCGATGATGAGTGAGAAGGTACCCTGGGAAACGAGGGGGGTGGGGGGCAGAGAGATAGCGAGATGAGCAAGGGGGAGGAATGGGGGCCACCCTGCGGCAGCCGGTTTAATTAACCTAATTGAAGGATACAGTTACTGCGCCCGGGTCAACATAACGGGTCTGTGTGCAGTGCTGCGCGCGAGCAGGAAACGCTAGAGGAGAACCCGAGGCAGAGGCGGGTTGAGGGAAATGTACGTGAGAGCCATTCGGTGGGAGGGGGGCGTTGGGATGATAGGTGATGAAAATCCTGTCCCAAGAGCTGGGAGAAGGGAGGGCGTAAAACTGGGGCGGGGGAGACTATGGTGAAACCCTTCTCGGGGATGGGGCCCAAGTGAGTCGTAAAGAAAGGATGAGGAGACAGTGCGCCCCTGGGGTTTTGGGAGGATCGAGAAAATCTGGGGGGCTGGTCCCAGGGCGCCCCCTCCTCTAGGCTTTTGTGACCCCCCAGAGCGCCCAGGCTGTGCTCACCGGCCAGGTGAAATTGAAGGGCAGTTGGAGAGGATTGCGGCCCCCGCCGCTACTGTCGTCCCCGACGGCGAAGGAGTTGGTGCCCAATACCGGCGTGGAGACGCTGCCGAAGGTGCAGGCCCCGGGCGAGACGACCGCCTGGAAGTGCTTAAGGCAGATGTGGAAGAAGGTCCGGCAGCGGGGCTCGCACGACCGCCCACTGGCTAGGACGCCGTGCTCGTTGGCGAACTCCAGCAGCTGCAGCTGGAAGACGCCGGAGCCGGCCGCGCGCTATTGCACAGGGACGGGGGAAGGAGAGAGGGGAGAGTCAGCTTGGCGGACGCCCGGGGCTCAGGCTCCGGGCGCGGTGGGAGGGGGCGCGAGACGTTACCTGCTGCGAAAGCGCCACCAGCAGCAGTAGAGCCCAGCCAGAGACGCTCCGGGTCGCGGCAGCCATCCCCTGGGGCGTCGCTCTCTCCACCCGCGGGCCTTGAAACCGGCTCTGCTCCGGACGCCGCTTTCCCGCGCGTCCGCCCGCTGGAGGGGTCCCTGAAAAGCCTGGCTCTGCTTGGACGCTACTCCTCCCTGGGCCTTCTCGCCAGCTCCGCTTCTGCTGCCGCGGTAAGTAATCCAGGTGAGGGCGGCTGGGCGGCGGCCGCGCTAAGGACGTGTCCTCCGTCTAATCCTGGGGCTGCAAGCGGGCTAGCGCCCCGGCTACACGGCACCGAGGTGGCTTGGGCTGCAGCTCTTGGTTTCGTGTTCCCGGCCTGCGCGCAGCGCCGCTACTGAAACCTGCGCGCTCGGGTGCCTTCCTTATATATATTGGCTCCACTCCTCGCCGCCTGTCACTCAGAGTCATGGTCACTCTCTCCTCCCCTCCGGGCGTCTAGCTGCTACAGCCCAGCGCCGCCCGGAGGGGGCCTCCGCCCCCTCCGTTCCCCCTCCCCGCCAGCCAGTTGGGCGCAGGTCCCCGCCCCTCCGTGCAGCTCCCACCTCCTGGGCCCCCAAGTCCTGCGCGTGTCGAGGCTACCAGTTCTCCGCTATGGCCGGGTTGCTGGTCGAGACCCTGACCCGGGGGGGGGGTAATGCGAGAGCCTGAGATGGGGAGGGAGTAGAGCGGGGGTTCCCGGATGGTCATGGGGGCGGAGACTCTGGGGAGTCCCCGCAGGCGGTGCGTCCGCAGCGGGAGCTAGTTACCTGCAGCCCTCGCTCAGGTAAAAAGAACTTAAGCCCGGAAAGCGAAACCAGGGCCAAAGAACTCCGAGCTCCTTCGTCTCCTTCCTGGAGCTTCGGGAGTTCACGCCTGGGAGGCCCGCAACCTGTGAGCGCCCACCCGCCACGCATCCTCTGCGCAGCAGGGAAGCCAGCGGACGCGTTAACCTCTCCGTGGCCACTCCGGGCCAGGCGAGGGGCCAAGCTTCTAGACTCGGGGGCTGCCTCCCTCCACCTGGAGGGCGTCTCCCTCCCCAGCTTCGGGGGGCGTGCCCAACGCGTGCCTTTTTCCTTCTGCCCTAGCCTAGGCTAGGCGCGTGCCAGCCCCTCGGCGCTAGGCCCCCGAAGTGGGGGAGGGGCGCGCGTCCTCAGCTGTATGGTAATGAAGTGTTGGCCCCGCCTCCAGCGCCTCCCCTCACCTGGGTCCCGCTTCAGTTTCAGCGCCCACCATCTCCCCTCACCCCAGCAGCCCCAAGCACTCCCCCCCACCCCACCCCGCGTCCTGTCGCTCCGATGGGGCAAGGAGGAACTATCCTGGCTCCAGAGTTGGCTCAGGCCACTGGAGTGTCAAGGTGAGAGGCTGAGGGCTGGCAGGCCCGGGTCCTCTCCTCGCAGGGAGGGATGTAGGGTGGAACTGGAAGCGCGCGGACTTGAGTTTCGGGCGGCTTCACCCGTCTCGCCCGCGCGGCTACCCTAGGCGGCCCCACTCCTCCGAGTCGCTGCACCGCAACTGCTTTCCCGGAACACGGCGCGATCCTCCGGAGGACGCAGACCCGGGAGGGCCGGTTTCTCCCAGGCTCGGGGGTGCCGTGGAGCTCTCTTTCTGCGACGCTGAGGGCGGCGGGGGCCCTATGGCTTCAGCTGTCAGCCCGCCCGCGCGGTGATGGCTGTCGTCGGGCGATAAGATCGGCGCGGGGGGAGCGGGGACGCGGCGCGGGCCCGGGGGAGGCTATGGGGGGGGGGTGGCCCTGCGCTGAGCCCAACAGCTGCCTAGGCTGAGCACGGTCTGATTTTTTTTCTTGGGGGGGGGTTGGAGGATTGGGGGAAAAGGATGAGAAACAAGAGGTTGGGAGCGTGGGTTGGAGGAGGGGCGAGGTGAGGAGACGGGCTCCGGGGTCCCCCACGCACGGCCACCCCTCCCAGCCACCATCTGGCGCGAGCGGGTTGGCGTGGGGAACCGAGGTGGGGCGGGGGCCGGCAGATGGGCGCAGGCTGCGCTCTTGAGTTAATGTAGGTTATGGGCGGGCGGAGTCCCCAGGCCCGAGGGAGGGGGAGCCCGGGGCTTGCCTCCCAGCGATCCTGGCAAGTGGGCGCCCAGATCCACTCTCTGCCCATACTCCCTCCTTCTGCAGCTCTCTAGACCTCCTTAGGATGTCAAAGGGTGCCCCTTACAGTCCTCCGAGCTGGCGTCCAGCCCTACCTCGCTCTGTCCAGCCCTACCTCGCTCTGTCTGCTCCCACTCGCAAATCCTGACCTGGGAGTTCTTAAAAGCTCCCTCCTTTTCCTGCGCTGGCGCTTGCCTGACCCTCAAGGGAGACCTCAGTCCCACATGAGGCGTCTCACTCAATACTGACAGCTCTGGAACACTCTCTACCCTTCATACGCACCGGGACTAATGTGCACAAAGCACTCTGCAAGTGGCAAAGGACCAAACAAAAGCTGGTATCATTATTATCCTTAGCAGCGAAATGCGAGGGATCCCCAAGACCTGACCTGGGAAGGAAAGGGTTAAATTCCCCAGCATCTTCAAAAGGCCCCTAGTAGCGCAGGATGCTGTCCCAGAAACACTCTACCCCCTCAGACGCAGCCCTTGGCCCTGGGATCCCACCAGCGCTCCCATCTGCTGAGATTAGGCTTTGCCCACACTTCCTGAGCAGGAGAGGGTAGCGCTGCAGGCAGGGAACTGGGGTGCAAAGGCCCCAGTAGGTGTTTCTCACCTCTCCACAGCTGGGGCTCCGCCCTTATTCTCCCACTCCTGATTTGGGGCGGGAAGAGCCCCACACCCGCCCTGGGAGTGTTCACACGGGCAGGAGGCTGCGAGGGGAGCTTGACCCGCGGGGCTGGACCCGCGCAGACGGCTGCGCCCTCGACGCCGATCCTCGGTGCTGCCCTGGAGAAGGAAACGAGCATAGACGCAGGACTGCCACGGAGTGTGGGCTCTCGGCCGCCCCACAGTTCCTCACCCGGACGAGCACTTGCAACCCTGCCCAGCGTCCGGAGCGTCAGGGTCGAGGCCGGGCTTAACTCAAGGCCCGCGGCTTTCCGCCCCTGAGGCCTTCTGCTGACACCTCTGCGTGGCCGCTGAGCCCAGGCCCTCGACAGGTAGAGCCCAACTTGGAGCCCCGGGGGCGCTAAGGTTGCCTTCCAGCAGTGCCCCAAAGCTGGCCACAGGTTACTGGGGTACCGCAGGAACACCGTAGAGCCTCGGAACTCTTCCCTCCTCTGGAGAGCTTACTGCGCCCACCCCAGGGCCACGGGCGTAGCTCCGAGGCCTCCCGCACCATTGTGCTCCCTCCAGCCTCCCCC